GCTTACTGCATATACGGCACTTATTGCCTATCACTCAGTGTATTTCACCAACTGCATATCACTCACTGTATATCACGCACCCACTGTATATCACCCACTGCCTACATGTATCACTCATCGCAAATCACTCACTGAGACTTTTTTGGCGCGAATTTAGCGCACCGTTACATTAAACAGCAGAACAGATTAATCTTTTTTTTGGCGAGAGGTAAAATTGGTAACGAGTTAAAGGTAAAAATGTGTTATTATCTGCAGACATGTTAACATATGGTTATTTCTTTGCTCAAACAAATTTCCAATTAATAGTTATTTTTTATGTAATAAACCATTTATGTTTCGATTGAACCCGTTTATGTTTTTAGTTGTTTTCATTTAATATATATTAATGTTCGTTTAGATGATATATATTTGATCAATCATTAAATTACATTTACATATTTTGAATTCCCATTAAATGAATGAGAAACAAATTCATTATTTTTTCATAATATGAAATAATATTGTATTTTTATACAATTCCACCATGTCTTGTTTAATTGCTACAATACAATGATTTATACCCTGTAAGAAACTAAACATTGGGACAATTTGAAAAAAAAATCACACATTTTAAGTTAAATTATTCTAAAAGCTGTCAAAGTAAATGTCCATAATATGGCAACATGAGGAACAGTCCGGAAAATTCGCTTTTTATTTGAATCAGATACTAGTATGGTTAATGATATTTTGTTATGATATGATTGATTGATTTTCTTTAGACCGGGCGGTCAAGGATAAGCTACGAAAGTGCACTTATTTCCAGTAGGATCCTTACCTCAGCAGACTTTAGAGACAGCTATGATATACAAGGAAATCCTGGAACTAGTCCCTAGCTCTTATTGAATAGATTCCTTGGTTCTTTTACATGCCCAGTGTATAGCACTGATACATGCGAGGATTACCTGGGTTTCGTACCAGTAAACCTCTAGTTAGGTGGGAAACACTGAAAAATCCCAAGAATGTTACGCAGGATCAAACCCGGACCCTCAGGAGTGACAGTCAGTGGTCTAACCAACTGAGCTATCGCGCCATCTTATATATATATCATCACACATGTGAATTATTTTACGCATTTTAATTTATTTTTTATCAATTTTTTCAGTTAATACACAAATTGTACCTATGAAATAAAAATGCATTCCAAGTTATCGTTCACCAGGCATGTCATATTCTCGTATATCTTGATAATTATGTCAAGTGAAGTTTATAAATAGATAAATCTATATTCAGCCATCATAAATGAACCAACTTTCTGTGAATTTGAAACAATCCATACGTAGCGAAAATGTAAACTCCATTTTATGTTCAAGCGAAATATAATTGTTTTAAGTATACAAAAGAAGGCGAGATCTAAATATCTAAATTGAGATATTCAATCATTTTTTCTGAAAGATTGGGAAATAAATATAGATTTCACAGAATGAATATAAATCTACTTTTCTCAAAAGAAAATCACCCAGCAACAATTTAAAAAGAGCCTCAATTTGCTTTCTGAAACAGACAAAATAACCATTGATCTTATTACATTTTATTATCTGTATATTTATCCAATTTCCTCTTTTCATTTGTTTGTGATAGCCTTAAGCCATTTAATAAAGAAGCTTTCAACTCTAATCTCTGATAACATCACATCAAATTATTAATTGATCTTTTCTATTTGACTTTCAGATCCAGTAGATTTTTTTTATAATAATCAGCATCCAATATATATGATTGTTTTACCTGTATTTTGTGCACTTGTTTCAAGCTGGTTTCATGTTCAATCTCTTACTGAATATGAATCACCGAATAACACTTTCAACAATATAGACACAGGTTTTACTTTGAAAAACATGTAGGTTAATAGGCTAGTAGATTTGTAAATTGGTAGATTTAAAAGTAGCATATTTATAGACTGACAGATTTGCAAACAAGAAGATTAAAGCTAGATGAGTAGAAGACTTGGTAGTTTTGAAGATCTGTAGACTAGTTGATTTTTTGTTTTGTTTTTTACAGCGCACAAACACAATTAAGTTCACACGGCGCCGAAACAGGAAAATGATTTTGGCTTACCTCGGCTGATACAAACTTAAAGCAATACCAGGAGCCCAAACCACCTCACCTGCTTGAGCATACACATTCTCCAGTATCAAACGAAAGGGAAGCAAATTTGAAAATATATTGCAAACTATAGTTCTAATATTTATTCCCCCTGAGGAAGCAAGCAAGACGAATCTTTTGATTTTCTCTTTATTATGTAAAACAAGAATCTTCTACGTATTTCATTTCCAGGTATTAGACTTCTTTAATTAGAAATTTCAATACTATGTCTGAATGAAACTGCCTATTTTTATCAATTTAATTCTTACGAAAACCTATTTACTTACTGCCTATCACTCGCTGCATATCACTCGCTGCATATCTCTCATCGCAAATCACACACTGTGATTTTTGTATGCGCGAATGAAGCGCACCGTAGAACAGATAATTCATTTTATTGGCGAGAGGTAAAATTGATTACCAGTTAGAGGTAAAAATGTGTTACTTATCTGCAGACATGTTAACACATGGTTATTTCTTTGCTCACATAAATCTCCAATTAATAGTATTTGTTATGTAATGAAACATTTATGTTTCGATTGGACCCATTTATTCTTTTATTTCTTGTCAATTTATATATTTATGTTCGCTTAGAAGATATGACTTTGATCAATCATTATACACATTTACATATTTTGAATTTCCATTGTATGTTCCAGATGTAAATTCTTTTTTTTCTTCTTTTTTTATTGTTATATTTAAAAATACTGAAATTGTGTATTTCCACCTAAATCTCGATTAATTACTGAATACAATGATTCATATTCAATGAGGGGTCAAACTTGAAAGAAATTCACACAATTTAAGCAAACCATTTTGAAAGCTGATTACTAAAAAATAAAAATGTCCATGAAAGGTAAAAATGAGGAACAGTCCAGAAAATCCGCTTTTGTTCTGGAAGCAGATACAAATATAGTTAATGATATTCTGTTATAATATATCATTACATATATGAATTAATTTATGCATTTTATTTTTTATTTATTTATTTTTTGTTTTTTGTAAATAATTATATACTGTACAAATAAATTTATTTTCTGACAAATTAAAAAAGCATTCCAAGCTATCGTTCACCAGGCATGTCGCAGTTATGATGTGAAAAGTGAAGTATATAAATAGATAAATAAATCTATATTCACGATAATTGGACCAACATTCTGTGTATTTTTGCACGAATTTTAAACCGTTTATACCTAGAGAAAACTTCACCTCCAATTTATGTTCAAGCGAAATATCATAATTTTATTGTCTTAATTATACATTTTTTTTTAAAAAAATCTAGATCAAAATATCTAAAAAGAAATATGCAATCTTTTTTAGAAAAGATTGGCAGATGAATATAAATTTCAAAGAGTGAATTTTAAATCTAATTTTCCCGAAAGAAAATCACCCAGCAACAATATAAAAAGAGCCTCAAGTTGTTTTCTGAAACAGACAAAATAACCATTGATCTCATTACATTTTATTATCCGTATATTTATCCAATTTCCTCTTTTCATTTGTTTTGATAGCCTTAAGCCATTTAATAAAGAAGCTTTCAACTCTTATCTCTGAAAACATCACATCAAATTATTATTTGATCTTTTCTATTTGACCTTACATCCAGTGGATTTCTTTATAATTATCAGCTTCCAATATATATGATTGTTTTACCTGTATTTTGTGCACTTCTTTCAAGCTGGTTTCATGTTCAATCTCTCAATATGAATCACCGAATTGCACTTTCAACAATATAGACAAATGGTTTTACTTTGTAAGACATGTAGGTTAATAGACTAGTAGATTTGCAAATTGGTAGATTTGAAAATAGCAGATTTATAGACTGGCAGATTTGCAAACAAGTAGATTAAAACACTAGTAGAGTAGAAGACTTGGTAGTTTTGTAGATCTGTAGACTTGTAGATCTTTTGTTTGGTTTTAAAGTGCACCGACACAATTTGGGTCATAAGGCGCCGAAACAGGAAAATGATTTTGGCTAACCTCGGGTGATACAAACTTAAAGCAATACCAGGAGTCAAAACCACCTCACCTGCTTGAGCATATACAGTCTCCAGTTATTCTATCTCATTTAGTCGCCTTTTACGATTGCAGGTATACACGGTGGCTGCAGTTCTCATGCCTGATTCCTTAAAGGCAACCTCTCCCTCACAATTGGATTTATAGAGTAGTACATTTGTATGCTAGTAGATTTATATAGAAGTAGATTGTTCACTAGTAGATTTAAAGACATTTGTTTCAAATAAGACAGTTTTCCTATGACACACACGGATATTGCACGGTTAGCATAAAAGTTTGGCACGAATAAATACGCCAGTAATTCGTCCACGAGAACCGCTATAAACAGATTACTTTCATTGGAAAGAATGTGTGCAAAAGCCGAAGATTTTCCATGGATGATACAAAGACATAAAAGTCTCGTTCTAAAATATACTTACGTTTATGGCAGGAAATCACATTTTGGATCCATTTTACATAGATCATAGTAGTTCACATAACTTGTTTTTATAACGAGAATCACTTACATTGAGTTGGTTACATTTGAAATAAATAAACTGAAATTAATTGTTCATTCTGAATTATTTCAATATATAAGGTCATTCCGTTAATCACCTGGATTTGAACGGTAAGCAGGTCTGTGCCTTGTTGTAAAATGTTTAACTGCCTTGAATAGCGTTAAATTAAATTAAAACTGCGTTCAAGCTTTATTGGTCAATAGATATATAAAATATAATATAATAAATATACAATATCTTATAACACAATGTTTAATACAGAACATAGATAACAAATATACAATATCTTATAATACAATGTTTAATACAGAACAAGATTTCACTGAATATACTGTAACAACAAATCTGACATTTCTAACATCTTGTATGTATGTATGTATGCGTATTATCAATACAATGTTTCATACAGAAAAAGATTTCACTGAATATACAGTTACGACAAATCTGACAATTCTAACATCTTGTATGTATGTATGTATGTAAAACTCAACACATGAACTATGGCACGTTTGCATCAAAATGAAACACCAAAATATCTCTAACTGTAATAAAGAATAATCAAATGCAAGTGTCAAAATACCGATAAAACTAAAAATTGCGTATTAATCTTTTCCAAATGTCCTCTCCTTACTAAAAAGGCAATTTATACGATTTTCCCAAAATGAAATAGTCAAAATGATATTGAAACATCTACCAGAATATCTATTCCCTGCTTTTAAGAAAGAATTTGAAACTTACATGATACATAATTGTACGAGGTTCAAAAATCACACACAAATATTCGAATAATTTATATTAACCATTATACATGACAACATTACATTAAAAAAATAAACAAAATCTGCTTTAACATAAGTAAGCAATTTTAAGAAATAACGAACATAATTTAAGAAAATTAAAACAAGACGTGACCATACAACAACATAGAGTTTGGTTTAAATCTGTGGCTGTTTGCTCTCCGATACCAGAACCAAGAGGCCAAGAATGATATTTCCTAACTTTTCAATATCATCCCAATTGTTGCTTTTACATTTTGTAGGCTTTCTTCTTATTTGTATATCCCCTGTAATCTGAAAGAATGAAGTATATTATAATAAAACTCATTAGCAGCTATCTTTTCTAAATGCAAGTCATAAATTACAAAAAACAAAACTAAATCATTTCATTATTTTCAAAACTTTGGAATTCAGATCTTCTTAATGGTTTAACATTTTACATTGAACGCCATTACAACAAGAATAGATTACAATGACAGATATGATTTGACTGACATATAATGAAAATAACTACAAAATTCCTTGTATACCTAGCACAAGATTTAAGAGTGTAATGAATCCGAACGAAAAAAATAACAACCTTATTTTGTCTCATGCCTACAAACAGCCCCTCCTTGTCAAGAAGGTCGAGTGACAGGTCTGCCCTGTGGAGAAGATGAAGGCAATGGGCAAGTTTCAAAGAAATCTTTAACATGGAGACTGTATGTAACTTCTTCTTCTTACACATAACCTCATTAAGGCTGATAAAACCCTGATCTTGTCTATCTTTTACCAAGAAGTAGCGGAATAAATCCGGCAAAGCTCCAGTTTGTTTTGCTGCAAAAGTAATCAGAGGATATTCAAGTATATTTGTCAACAAATACAGGATTTTTTTCATCGAGTGGTATGAATAAATAAATATTTCATGAGTGGTAGCCACGGGTGAAATATGATAATTTCATACCACAAGATGAAAAAAATCAAGTGTTTATAGAAAAAAACTTGAATTTTCTGTTTATTATATACATTTTTTCTGTTGTTTTTTTTTTACAATTTTAAAGACTTTCCCTTAAATTGTATGTACTGGTAGAATTTAGAAGAAAGTATTCCGCCAAGACACCAATGAAAATACGGAAAATAAATGTTTTACTGCAGTAAAAAATATTCTTTACAGTGAAAATACGGAATATGAAAATACGCATTTTATTTCATCATTATATATAAAGCATACTTGTTCAAGATTTTACATATAAAATTGTTTAGGTAATATATGTTTCATGAGAGTCCTTTAAACTTCAAAATGTTTGATTAGATTGATTTGATTTGATTCTTATTCAAATATTTAAAATAACAGTTTTGGAAGACATGAATATCTATAAAAAGTCAATTGACGTACTACTTTTCGTTTTCAAAGTACTCTTGGCTGTCGATGGTTGTGTAGTAGTGCGCCTCTGTAATGTAATCATTAAATGTTTCATAATAGATATATCTTTTGTTATAACATTGTCTTTAAGCATTTCATTAAGGATTTCAATCATTCGAACGAACGAACTTTATGATGTAAGCAAGTATCTATTGTAACTTAAAAAGGCAACAAAGTCATCTAGAAATATGTCAAGACGCAGGAGTGTAATTACTTCATTTAATAAAGAACTACGAGTATATAACATATATGTGAAATAAAAATTTGAGGTGAGGTCATTTGCGTTACATACAAACACATGCACGCTAATGGTAGCGTTACACTATATGCGTGTCAATGAAAAATGACTCTTTTTAAACATAAACCGTTTCTTAATTCATATAAAAATTATGTAATAATGGAAAAAAATATATTTGTCAAGATTCAATGTAAATTCAAGTAAAAAATATTATGCTCACCAGAGACTCGCATGATAATATGATTCCATTTACCTCGTTTAATGAATTTAACATTAAATCTACACTCATAATTCAATAATTTCTGAATGAAATTTGAAAAAAAAAGCAAAATGTTATACTAATCTATTCAATTTTCTTAAGTTAAAGTACTGTTCAAGAAAGAAAACGAAATGAGACATTCAATCAACAGAAAAATAAGTTAAAAGACAAGTTACCCTGCTTGATTTGGATACGGACAACGTGTAAAGTACCGGATTCAACGCGGAATTTAAAGGTAAGACGAAGACAATAATCCAAGCATAAACGTCGCTAGATATCTCATACCCGGACATTGCCATGAAACCTGTAAGGGAAATAGAATCCAACATGTATTCTCATTTTAAAGATTTAATTTTAATTATCGTATTTCATCACTTAAGATATTCTATTGTCATTCCATATTATATTTAATTTTAATGTATGGGCAATTTCCACATGTATTTCAAATATTGATGGGGCGTCCGTGGCCGAGTGGTTAAGGTCGTTGAATTCAAACCACTTGCCCCTCACCGCTGTGGGTTCGAATCATGACAGGGACTTTGGATTTTTTATGTGAGGAAGATTTCAAGGTAGCTTACTGAACATCGGTGGTTCTACTCAGATGCCCGTTCGTGCCTTAAATAATGCACGGAAGAGCACCTGAGGTCTTCCTCCACCAGTAAAGCTGGAACGTCGCCAAATGACCTATACTGTGCTGGTGTGACGTAAAACCCAATCAAGCAAACCAACAAATCAAATATTGATAGAAGCAATTATAAAAATATAGCATCTGGATACTGTTTAATTTCTTAAACACAAATAATTGATGGTCTTACAGGTCTATTATCAATGCTTGGCCAATTAACTTTCAGAATTAGGTTATTTCTGTTTAGACATAATTATGCTTATGATAATTGTTCATGCTAATGGTAACAGAGATAGATCCTTTATTTAGACGTTATATCGTTAAATTATCTTTCAATATATACTTGCCTACACAACCGATTGGAAACCAGCACAAGAAGTCGGATGCAACAACTAAAAGCAGATTCCTAGCAACTGTCATATCTCTTTTTTGGGAAAATTTCATGGTTTTGGATGTAACGGATTTAATCTCGGACGAAACTTTCCTAATTTCCAGATAGATTGAGCCTTGGCCCCAGGCAATAAGACAGAAGGTGAAAAAGTTTAGTCCAAGAAAAATAAGTACAGAATATGACCAACCAGGCGGTCGATCCCTCGTTAACGGAAGTGCGATGCAAACACCAGATTTAGAATAAAATTGCCCATAAAAGAAGTTATCGAAGATGATCGGAATAAGTGCAATAATAATTGATATTGCCCAGGAAATAGTTGACATCAATAAGACATGTTTCGAATTAAGACGAAACTGGCCGAATGGGTATTTAATAACGAGAAATCTGTCTAAAGTGATAAGGCAAAGAAAAAATACGCTGGCCTCAGAAGAAACTGTTGCTAGGAATCCAGCAAAGGTACACCAAACGCTATTACGCCAATAGTCATCCATAAAAATGTATCTGAAATAAAATTGTGACTGTTCGGTTTAAAAATATTTGCAACACTTAATTTATACTAAGATGCATATCGTACTTCGAACTAGGCTATATATACATAAACATTGACTTCAAATGTAAATGATTTTCCTCCCGTAGATTTCTTTTTTAATATTTTACTGCTCAAAGATACAATGAAACTAATCATTTCATGTTTCAATATGAGCAGTTACAACGTTTTGACATTCATTACTGACACAATGAGCGTCATACACAACTATTATAATTATAATGACAACGTGAATAGGTCAACATTTATCATATAATTTCAATTCCAACTAAATTTTTTTTAGAAAAAAAATGTTAAATTTAATATAGACAACTCCATTAGATTCTAATTCATATAATGTCATTGTATACATGTTTTGACTATACTGTCTTCTTCAATACAAACCAATATAAAAAAATATATAAATATAAAAATGAAAAAAAAAAACGAAATGCATAAAACTTCATCCTTACCTTTTTCTAAACGTTGCGTCAGCTATAGCTATTATAAGTAAGTATATCCCCATGATGGCATCTGCCACAGCCAGATTGGTTACAAATATTTCATAATTAAGCTTCAATTTATTTCTATGGTACACCAGTCGATACATCACGGATAACAGGTTTCCAAACAAAGCACATACCCCAATCAGCCACAACATTGTTTGCAGTGCAGATAGACGTAACAGATCCTCACATGACGAAAACTCGTCCACCTTAGGAAAACAGTTATCTTCTATCAGGTAGTTTGGACGTATACAACAATATTTGTATGACGGTGTCATAAGAGTGGTTAAACCAATCACACCTCTAAAGAGACCTTCATTAAAGTTTTCTACAATAGTGTGAGTAAGATATATTTTTTCTGCATACAAATCATTGAAAATATTGTCCCCAATTTCTTTTATTTTGTTAGCAGTTAAATTCAATACATTAAGTGATAATCCTGAAAATGCATTTGATGATATCAATTGAATGTTTGCCCCGACTAGCTCAAAGGTTTTTAAACTTTGTAGTCCTTGCAGCGCAAAGGGCTCAATTCTGTAAATTTCTTCATTTCCTATTAAATTCAGACTAGTTAGTTTTTGTAAACCTAAAAACCCGAATCCCGGTAAAGCTGAAATTTTGTTGTGACTAAGATCCAAAACTCTTAAGTTAGGTAAAGACTGGAAACCATAGCTTTTCATTGTATGAATGTTACAGCTTGACATGTACATGTGAACGAGATAAGGGAAATCAAATGACGAATGTAAAAACACGTCGTGTAGATTTGGATTCCGGTTTAAGTCCAACAGTCTAGAATTTATGTCAATGGTCACAACATCGGCTACATCTAAACTCATTCCGCTGCAGTTGGTTTTAAATTCACTACATGTGCACTTGGCCGGACATGTGTATTGACAAAGCCTTTCATCATCACCTTGTATACAATGTTTATGCCCGTCACAAACCTGTTCCAGTAATATACACTGTTTGCTTGCTGCACATTTATATTGTCCGGGACAAAGCACATTTGAGGAAGCTGTCAGCAAACCAAATTAAAAAGCATATTATTTAAGTCATTGTGAATGTCAATTACAAGACAACATTTGGAAATGCAAGAGCAAAACGAGTGAAAAGAATCAAATGAAAAAGTTGTACTTATAATGACGCAAAATGCCTTAAATCTACATTAATTGGATTCTATGTATCCTCTTATGTCTATATTTCAATATACTTGTTACTTATTAAATAGAGAAAAAACAGAGTTTTTTGTTTTGAAAGTTAAAGATATAGATTTTATAAACCACTTCAAAATAATAAAAAAAAGCTTCTAAGAAATATTTTAGCATGTCTACGTCAGGCATAATTTGGGCTTTATGTAAATACCGTTTAATTTATAAAAGCAAATAAACATACCGAATGATAATATATAAGCTGAACTAAACATACCTTCGCAAATTTGTGGAAAGAACGTAGTGCCGATACTGGACAATATATTCCAACGTTTAATGGCAACATCATTAACAAAATTAAACAAGTGCTTTCTCGGTATACCACTTGTTCCTCGAAAGACTCTGAATAGATGGAAATCTGGTTTTGATTTAATTCTTCCGAACATCATGTTTGCGATAATGTCCGATTCTTTACTATCTTGAACAAATATTACGCCCTTTGACCCATTCTTAGTTAAATGTATAGAATTAACAAAATCGGATGCTAAAATTGAATAGTTACACACAAACTGTCTCATAACAGTTTCATGACTCTTAACCACTTCGTCTGATATATCAAGAAATCTGTGAGGGAAACCTAGTTTAGCATCGTTTGTTCGTGATTTATACTGTAAATGTCTTATAATGCTACCATGCGAGTGAAACTGCCTGGCTAAAGTTTTCACTTGATGAACTCTATTGTCATTTAGTGTTCTCTCTGAAAGAATTATCACTTCCCGCTCACTTTTTTTGCAACCTGTATTGAATGATTTAATAACAGTTTATTTGCGCATATAAGGCAAGTAAAAAGTAACTAATGTATGCATTAACGCATTAAAGAGTTGTAAGTTGTAGAAACAGCACACACATTTTTGCTTGTTTGCCTATCAAAAATCAAAATCATGCTCTTTGTCAATAAGGATATATTTTTCATAATATTTTTGTATATGAAAGAATATTATTTTCAAATGGAAAATTATTTTCAAATGCTGTGCTAATTGTCGACAGAATAATTCTTGTTGACAGGATTTTCTCTTTTGCAAGAAAATCCGATCTTACACCCACACACAAAACATGTCGCGAGCTTTTACAATGACGTCATACCATTAAAATGCTAAATGAAAGTATTAGTTTTCGTATTTTCTCTCCGAATTATAAGTTAAATGTAATATGCAAGAAAAAGAATATAACACCTGCTGTCATCACAGACAAAAATATCTAGCTCTCGGGTAACATTTTTAGTGGAAAGTCTGCAAAACATTTTGGCAGTCGTAACTCGTTACCCCTGAGCCAGGAACTACGACCGGTACCGGCATAAAGTGCAAGGCCCGTATAGCTATCGTAATATCTTATAAATAAATACCACAATCCTTCTCATCATCAGCATCAGGACAATGTATAACACCGTCACAAATAAATCTAACGGGAAGGCAGAAGCTCCGTGGACATTTAACAGTGGTCACGGGACACTCGAAGTCCTCTGAAATAGCAGTTATTGGTATTTCTTGTATATAAGTTTCAAAATATTCCTTTTCTAATTTCATAACTAAAACAATGTATGAGAACTGAACACATTTTTAAAGCAAAGTTTCCTAGATTAAAGTTTACAAAATAAAAATAAAACAAACTCGATATACATGTATGCATGTTTGTATTTGTTTAACAATATGATTGTATACCAAATGTGTATGAAAACGCTCTATATTCAGGGGATAAAATACTTAATAATTATGCTCTTCAACTTGTGATAACATGCTTTAAACATTTATTCTTACGTCACAAACCCTGTTTTTATACTTACGGTTATCTACGCAGTGCACATAAGGAGATACCTTAATCGTTTATATCATTACGTAAACAGAATCCTTTTTAGGATTGTTTTACATGTCTTACAAAGAATATGGTCACCTAATCGTACAAGTCTTTCTTCTTCTTCTCTAATTACTTTTGATATATCGTTTTGGGACAGGCTCTTCTTAAATTTATGACCTTTATCAATCATAAAAGTTTGTGGTTCTAATCAGGTTATTTCAAGTGCCTAGAATCTAAAAATCACCTAATTTTGTTGGTGACATAACGGTGGTTTAAGATAATATATGCAATGACATTTGTTGATTTAGTCTTACTTAAAATGACTCCCTTAACTTTTTAAGAGTACTAGAATCCTGAATCCTGAAAAACTTCAACTGCAGTTTAACCTCGATCGTTTTCATGAATATAAAAAAATTACCACATCCTTGTAAATGGTTTCCTGATCTACAGCCAATCATAAATCCAGCAGCGTCAATTTCGTAAACACACCTTATTGACAAAGGAAACACATTATTTTCGTCCCCACAACCTACTGTAGACTCCGTAATCGTTTTCTCTACAAAATAAAATAATTCTAAATTGTTTTCTATGGGTCTAAAAAGCTACATACTCAAATGTATTATTATAAGTAGCTTATTTAGAATTTTAATTTAATGACATAATTATATTTCTAGAATAAAAAAAATAATAATAGATTTGCTTGAAAACAAGGACTCTTTCTATCTAGAAAAATATTAATTTTTAAGTATTCTGATGTACTGATTATTAACAATAGAAACAAAATTATAACAAAAGAGTTGGTATTGAATGCCCGGCGGAATTCGTACAACAAACTAAAAGTGTTTTTGCTGGCAATACTATTTTTTTACCAAGGTCAACTTTTATTTTTCTTTCTACTGCATTGTCATATAAAATATTATTTTTCCAAATGACATATTAGAAGTATGAACTACTTTGAAAATTAAAATAATTATTTTATTTGCTTTGAATCAGCAAATTCATCATCTATTATTAATGAACCTGAGTACTGACTATTTTTACAAACGATAGGGCTCAACCGAAGTTCTGCATCGCGGGGAAATGATCCTTCTTTGTAGGACAGTATGCGTTGTTTGTTTTTCGTTTCAGAATAGATAAATAGCATGTGTTTCTCCACGTCTGTGTCACTCAAAACCCGCCCATCATTGCAATACCTCAACGTTCTGTGAAACATTTATGAAAACTCACATTACTAACATACATTTGACAGAGCGGATAGGAAGAAAGGCTTACATCTTTCAAAGCATTGTTTAAATTCGGCATTCCTCGTCTTTTTCCGTAAATCATGTTTAAGAGATAGCAACAGACATTTGTATATATTAAAAGCATTCAATGACATCATTATTTCTTAATAAATAAAACGTAAACATAAACTGCATGATAAGTACATGCTCATGTCTATAGAAAAGTTGAAGTTTTCGATACTTACCTCTGTGCTCGATAGGGATACACTGTCAATGTAACACAGTCACAACTTATTGATATATTGAATGTTTCATTCAGTTGAGCAAGGGCCTCGACGGCATGTATGCATGTTTGGGTAATCTGAATATATGATTTGTAACAATATATGACGTCAAAACAATTAACGATGGAAAAGTTTAACTCTTGTTAACTACAAAGTCTGATTTTAATAATGTCATTAAAATCTAAGTAAATTGCAAGCCGAAAAATAAATGGCATTTAGATTAATTATAGATGAATTTAAAATCCATTATTATCCATCGAGATGCTTTTGTCAGAACGCTTAAAGTGACTGCAAATATGAAATAAAAATATGAAAATAAATACCCACATTTTGAGTACAAGTGTAGGATGGATCTGTAAGGATGTCAATCATACCAACGCTTGACTGATTTGCTAAAAATAGTTCTCCTTCCGTTGAATGAATCTGTTCTAGACTATCCCCACTATATGAAAATACACAATACACAAACTTAATGATGTTCTTAATTCGGAGAATATTCATTTATTGCGTGCCTTTTTTGCCAAAGCTTTTTATTATTATTTAAATTCTTATTACCACTTGTCGGGATAATTAATTAAAAATCGATATATTTAACACATTGTCACATTTAACAAATGTTAATAATAATAAAAGATCAAGGGCATGAAACAAATTTAAAATCAGTACATAGCCATTTTCTACCATAAGTCATGGCGTGGTGTAATTTAAATACACTACATGTTTCAGAATATTAAATGGAATCCTCTGTATTCTAAACTGTATTTAAATTATCTCAAATCATCAATTTTGACAAAAAACAATAAGATTGTACTTACAGATAAGTAACTTCAAAAGAATGAAATATTGTGAATATATTTTCTTCCTCAAGCACCGAATCAAAGTCGCACACAGCATGTATGTCATCTGAAATTCAATCGTCAGTTTCTAGAGTAAAATGTAGTAAATATAGATATCAAACATTATGTGCAAATCAGTTTTAACCACTGATCAACTGTTCTATTATGAACACAAACAATCAATTTATGAAAGCAAATATATGAAAAGACAATGCACAAAGAAAGGATGACATCAACATCTTCTTGATATAACAAAGGACAAATAATAACGCTACAAGGACATCAAGATGTGACTCAAGATAAAAGGCATGTAACAAGTGTGAATGTAACTTGACACGTTTAAAGATACAGATTGTTCATGTATAATGCATGTACTATATGTTCTGATAGGTATCAAGTCTAGAAATGTAAATCTTAGTCATACATAGCCGATATATTCCGGTGTTTCTATATCCAGCATTCCACCAGTTTTCACAAGAACTATGACGTGGTTGACCACATGATTTCTCATCATCACCATCTTTACAATCAGCGTACGTGTCACAAACAAGACGACTTGGTATACACCTTACAAGGTCGCAATGGAACGTGCCTTCTTTACAAATGTCTTACAGCAAAAAAAAAACAATATAATTATTTATTTTTTAAATTATAACCACATTAATTTGCAGTATTTTCTATTGAATGTGATTTGTCATGTATGCATTGATTTTCAGTTTTAAAAAGTCAAATCAGTTTTAAAGTCTAATCAGTAATTATTAGTGGATATAAAAATGGTATAAAATATATATATAAATTTGGCAAATATTATGCAATCGGTGCAGTTAAGACTTTGCAAGCTCGATTTTAACCTCAAAACTATCTGCACTTGTTTTAACTGAAACATCTGATATGTCCATAATAATACTTATTACCGCAGCTATTCTCATCAGTGCCATCAATACAGTGCTCATATGAGTCACAACGTTTTTCAAGTGGTATACATTGTCCATTTGTACAACGAAATTCACTGTCTGAACACTGTGGATAATCTGAAATAAAATCGTTCATGTCCTGGACTTTGAACGGTTTCAACGTCATTCAATATTGTTAATATAAAAAAATGTATATTCCGTCTGATTTATAGCAGTTTGCTATTATTCTAATCTATGTTTTTACTGGATCATTAATCGTTTCGTTAGAATAAGAATTAACAAAGGTTTATCATAATAAGTTAAAGAATTACTGGTGGAAATGAGTGAAAAAAAAGTAATTTATTCAATTTAACTTTCATGTAAGCAATAAATATACAAATTCAACAATTTTGATGGCATAAATCATACAGATAGTTCAGATCTTTTATTTCTGAAATTGAATCATTTAGTACAAAACACGCCTATTTAATGCATAGTTTTTATTTTACACATGTTGTTATACATTTATACATACTAGCATTCACGAAATATAACGTGCTATATATATAATTTTCATAATGCAGAGTAAACAGAATAAATTTAAAAAAATGATATTCTACATCTACGTCGTTAAAGGTGCACAACGTACAAATTTTATTCAAATCTTACACTTTCTTTTACACTGTGCGAATATAGCCTGGTTAAAAAACAATGCCTTTTATAGTAAAATACGAATAAAGCATTTCCGATATACAAAGTTTATAACTGAGGTTAGAATAATTACCACAATCTTCGTCGGATGCATCAACACAGTCGATAATGAAGTCACACATCTGACTTACATGTATGCACATACTGTCACCACATGTAAACTCATCTTTCGAACATTGTGATCTCGTGTACGTATCTGTAAACGACAAAAATGGGTTAAGAGGTAACACACATGTATCTAAAAATACATATATAATCATAACAAAATAAAAAAAAATTTTATTGCGCTTTAAAATTTATATCTATCTCTTTCAATATCTTATGTAATGAAAGGCAATATGAAAAATGTTTTTTTTTGCATATCTCGTTTAAATTCTTTAAAATGATAAACAACCTTATATGGAAATTATGTGCATTTCACATTAAGGTCTTAAATAGTGATAAACAAGAGGTTATGAAAAAATGCTTTGCGTCTTAATAAGTGATAAACAAGACCAGTTGAAAAATGTATAAATATGATCATTTGCTCTTTTTTAAAATAGTTACTTGTTTATCGTTAAAATGACGCAAAATGGAACACCTAAGATACTGAAAAGGTTTAAAACAAGACAACTTTGTACCAAAAGAAAATGAGATGTCTACATACCAAGAACTTTGGAGCAATTAATTTCGTCAATAGCATCGGGACAGTCTATAACATCGTCACATCGGGTAAGCATTGACATCCATTCCCCATTGTTACATAAGTGTAATGACCCATTCGTGTTGTGGATAGTCACATGATTTGAACTGGACGTGTTTCTTAGAAGCGTTTTAACTAAAATAATAATACATATAATAATAATAAAAGAAATAAAATCTTTATTTAGAGAAGGTAACTTACAAAATGTACACACACAAAGATATGTATAATTATTTCCAGTACGGCCTTCTTATTTAATAATAAGAAAGAAAAAAGTATAACAGTTATAAAATTTTTTCTGTAGATTGTTTCCAGTTAAATAAAAACATGTTACTCAATAAATATTGCTATATCGCATAATTTACCTCTCATTTCTTACCGCTAGTTAGATAAATATAACATTTCAGTATCATGGTACGGCTGACAAAAGTACAATGCGGTCATATGAATAAACTGAAACGAATAAGGTCAGCAACCACAGGATGCTCGGAAAAAAAATACACCAAAAAACACCTTGTGAGATGATTTTACAAGAAAGGAAAATGTTGCAAACAGTGCAAGATCAGAACGTTCGCTTGACATGACGCACATTTATACAGGGCTAAACTTCTTGAGTTTGCTCATTAAAGAGCTAATGGCAAATGGCAACTAGTCCTGGCTAAATCAGCATTCAAACGATAGACCAGAAAAAACGCCATGCGTTTCATTTTTGGTTCAGTAGATATCACGTCAATTAATGCAATCATGAGTCGTTTCCAAACATGTTGAACCTAACATCGAAAAGGTTTGAATTGCCAGAAACAAAAGGTTTCCGCTTGAGAATATGTGATCAGCTATATCCTACAAAACAAAGAGTAAAATAACGAGCATTTCTAATGTACTACTAGCATGCTTTAAAAACTTTAATTTGAAAGTAGTGTCTACCTTTACCTGATCCTAAACAACTTGTTTCATCAGAAAAATCAACACAGTCTTGTATACCATCACACAAATATTGCACTGAAATTGTATCACCATTGGCACATTCAAATGAACCTTCCACGGTTGTGTTTATACTTGAAGAACCAGCAGCTGTGTATTTATCTGCATCGAAATACGGACGAATAGAATTTATTAGTAACATTGAAGTAGACATGTGTTCGGATATATTTATATCAAGTTATGATATTCTGCATTATGTCATGGTCCTAATATTTCATCAGGATCATAATTCTTATCTACATTGAAGTACTGGCGTTGACAAAGAAATTTTTTCAGTCATTGGAATATATTAACATGCGACGCATCTACTGTACTGTTGTCCATCTTGAAACAATAAAACAGAAAATAAGGAATCCTTACGGAACGCTAAATATATGAACTTTGCAATTAAAGGATAATAAGATACATGTATTTATTATGTATTCATAAAATAAGTGTTGAATGTTAATGCTTTGACTCTTTTTAATTATGATTGTTCAGTGTTAGAAAATTAATATTGTGAGCGCATATTTGCAACTTACAATCAATAAAGCATGGCTCGGATTGGGCAGCTATTTCTGATGTAAAACACCAGAGAAAACCCTCCTTATACGGATCCCTGCAGTAGTTAACAGCTTGTTTTACTGACCCATCCGGAAACTTAAAATTGTTCTTTAATTGTTTGTTTAGGTTAACTGTATGCCAGTTTTTACAGTGTTTACCAGAACGTGTCTGGTTCCATTGTCCTGTATACGGCGTCAATGTAATAAAACAACGATCTGACTCCGTGTCTGAAAAAACATAAGGAAAAAATTATTCCCTGCGGTCTGGAGACCGCAGGGTATTGGTACGCGTTTAACTTTTGAGGCATGGAGGAGCACGTGACCTGTTTTCGGTACATGGAGGAGCATGTGATCTGTAAACATGATTGGTTAATTGACCTTTTCGAAAGCCTGGCTAAATACTGTTTGCGGTACGTTACGGATTTACCTCTAGGGAATTAGTCAGAGTGACACCTAATTAAGAACAAAAATTATTACGTGATATTTCTAATTTTCTATAATTATTTTACCGTTTAAGGTGGAAAAACTTGAATGATATGTTTGACAATTATCAATGTTTCTTTAATATGTATCTCAAATTTAAAAAACAATAAATTGTTTATACAAAATTAAAATTTTCGTAGTTGCATCTGCCAGAATAAATAGAGATATTTTCTGCGTAAACTTGTGTACATTGTATTTATTTTTTTTGCTCGGAATTACTCATAAAATGGTAGGCCTATTTAATCATTTTCTTAAAAAGAAATAATTGTGTATGTTCGACCTTCTCCGATCATCAACGGTCACCAGTTTCCAAAGACCTTCTTCTATTTTGATCGATTATTGTCAACTATATTCCTGATAAAACCGCGCGTTTATTTATTCCCCCCAAACAATGTTGAAAATAGTTAAATGGAATATCTTTATATCATTAAAAATGTTCCCCGCAGGAAACCATTTTACTTGTTACATAAACTAGGATGCAGGAGCGTAATAAAGCCATTTTATGAAAACAAAAAATTACACTAGTCGTAATAACATTTTGACGTAACGTCATTTGCGTTATATACAAACAATATTGGAGCGCGCTAAACACTACATTGACCGCTGTATAAAGGCTATTACGAAATACCAGAAAAGAGTATGACTTTCGAAACAAATATGAATATGATTTATCTTTGTTTGAAAAGACGCAGATAAGTAAAAAGATATACTGCTCACAAAAGATTATTTAAAATATTACAAATTGTTTCATATTACTCTTAGTATAGGTAAAAATATTAAAATGTAAGTTCATGGTGTAATTATAAAAAAACACGTTCTGTTTAGCTAACTATATATGATGCTATCTCCAACATATTACACTTCAGGAATATTCTCAAAAAATGTTAAATCAATATTTGAGTAAAACTTCACAGGTATTTTTTGCAATATAATATCAAACCGGAAAGCTTCTCCAATCTAAAGTTCCCCTTGGATTTCGAGCACACAGTTGTACGGAGCGATAGTTTTTAGCCAACGACCTTAACCACTCAGCCACATTTATTATTATTATTATTATTATTATTATTATTATTATTATTATTATTATTATTATCATTATATAATTAATAGTCTGTTTTGTTTTTATCATCATTTTCTTTCCAAAAAGCAGTTAGACTATTAATAAGCAGAAATACAATACAGTTTACATTTAACTCTTAACCTTTATAGTTACACGGCTCCCATTCTCTATTTGGATCGGTCGTGTAGCAGAAAAGTGTGCCTTCCATCGTTGGATCCCTACAGTAATTCTCGGCATCTTTTACGGTATCCTCCGGAAAAGACGAATTTGAATCTCCGGCTTTATGTGGGTGCGGATACTGACTATCCCAACGTTGGCAAGTTCTACCAGAAGAGGTCTTGCTGAGCCAGCCGGAATAGCGATGAGGAAAAATTGTTTCTAGCACTTTGTTATACAAAAACAAACATGTATTGGTTTGTGCAATTATACGTATTTTAACCAAGTATAATTATCATCATCATGCATTCATCTGTGTTATGAAGAAACTCAAAATAAAAAATGCAATGGCTTTCTGTTATTTTATTCAAGTTATATTTGCAGCATAGCATGTTTGCAAAATAAAATTCTTAAAGAACACCCAAAACAGCAAAACTGATAACGTTGCAAGCGTGGTTGAATTGAAACTATTTTGGACGGTAATAGTTATCTACGCCGCGTTGTACCGTCTTAACCAATATTCAAGATTCTAACATGACAAAAGATATTTAGAAAACATGATATATACACACGACAGTGAAAATGAAACCTTCAGTGTCACACATAAAGCAGCGTATGCTTCCAAAGTAAAGAATGACCAAAGTTTTGAAGGAAAAAAAATCACTATACATAACAAACATTAATTCAATTTGAATATCTGTTATGTTCCTTCTGTTTGTAATATAGTTATAATTTTGATAAAAATATTTCAAGGATTTCTATTGTATGGTTTTTTTTGCATATCATTTAAAATTAATACTAGTAAGAACACATCGAGATGAGAACAAAAATAACCTTTAGGTGGTTGTGTACATTTCTGCCAGCGCTCTGAAGGATCCATAGTGTAACACCATATATAGCCGTTAACCTCAGGGTCACGGCAATAATTTTCCTCAAGCATCATGTCTCCACTGGGGAAAATATACTCATACAATATATATCCGTGTGTATGTGGATAACTACTGTCCCAGCGCTGACACGGTATACCATTTTCCGTATAATTCAGAGTTCCATTGTACAAATGAGGCTTAAAGGAATCCGACAAAGCTGTAACATTAGTGAGAAATTGAGTAAAAACTTTAATTTTTGAAATACAGTGAGGACATACAAGTCATCATTCATTAAAAGGCATTTATGGACTTGATAAAAAAATTATCTAAATATTATTCTAAATTTGCCATGTTTTACATTTAATATTCTAATTAATATAATTAATAATTCTAAATTTGCCATGTTTTACATTTCATATTCTAATTAATATAATTAATAATTAATTTAATTTTATCATAATTAATTCTCAAAAATATACTTATCAACCTTATAACAAACGGACGGGCAACACTTCCATGATCATATGGCGATCATATGGCGACTTGTTGAGAAAAATCTAAGTTGCTTCATCGTGCATTATTTCAGGTACGGACGGACACCTGAGTAGAACCATCTTTGTTACATGAGCAAGCTAGACAGCTACCTTACATGATAGAAAATAATTGCAATATGATAAACTGATGATTTACTTAAAAGAAGTGGCTGAAAGTCCTATTGGGGTACATTGTTTTGTACTATGCCTGTCTTGGTTTAACAAGGAATTTTATTTGAAATATGCTTTTGCTAAAACGGCTTTACATCATCAGGACTTACTAAGTAGTTTTTCAGAGATAGGCTCTTCGCATATAAAATAATTTGCCAAGTCATCCTCGCAACTTGCAGTTTCCCATGTGTTGTTCCGGTGTGCTTGATGAAAACTCATTCTTGTACAGTCTCCAATGATCGACGGCTCTCCTGTGTTCCTAGAAAAATATCTGCATAGTTTTATTTTGAACATTTCGGTATACCGGAATAATCTTTTAAACTGTAAAACAACCCTCAATTTTAAAGTGCAGCAGGTTTTTTTTTTGTAGAGTCATTGTTCTTTTATGAAAAAGGAGAAAGTTTTGTAAACAGTTTTTTTTATATGTTATAATATTTGGTTGGATTGGACGTCGTATTGTTTTGTCTTAAGTCACACCGTCGCTGTTATGTCATGTGGCGAATTTCAAGCTTTAATGGTGGATAAAGAGGTCAGGTATCCTCTGTGCATTATTTCAAGCACGAACGCACCAATTAGTAAATCCACCGATGTTCCGTTACCTTACAGGATAAAAAATAAAACATTTCCTAAAATAAAAAATACAAAGAAGGCTCTGACGGGATAAGAACCCTCAGTGGTTAGGGGCAAGTGATTTGAAGTTAAGCTGGAAAAAAAACAGACCATTGTTAAATGTACGAATTCAGTCACAGGATCTGATAAAGCAGAAAATAGCCCTGAAAATGTTAAAATATGCAAGCAAGACCGTTACCGTATTAAAAACGGGCTATGCTATAAGCATGATGATAAGATAATAAATTTAACTATATCAAACATATTCATGCGAAATAATAATTAAAATAATTAGCACATCACTGTCCGTTCATTTAAAGTTAGCATTGAATTAGTTCATACATTTGAATCTTTTGTAACAGTGTTCTTTACAACGATAAAAAAGTACAAAAAAAAATAATAAAGAAAAAATGACATTAAAAGACCAGTGAATATACATCTGTATGCTTATTTTTATTTATTGGAAATAGTTAATAATGATGATAATGGTAACACTAAAATAAACGTAAAAATTAAAACATTAAGTTATTCTGTTCCTCATTTTTCCAATGCTTTGTTTACAGTAGAATATTATGTTATTCTCTTACTAGTAAACAAGATAATAGCTTATATTGTATATATAAAAACAAGCATATCAAAATTCAACATTTATACGTATAAACGTTCATACCATGCGGTAAATGTAACAGGTGACCCATCTTCCCATACGTGAAAATTTCCGCCAACACGTTCTCTTACACGCGTTAAACCTTAAAATGTAAGTCATTGAATATTCAGTATAAAATACTTTGTATATTTTTTTCTTCAGATTAATATTGTTTTGTACTACTTATGAAAAATTCAAATTGCTCCATCAATCTAACTTTATATGAACTTAAAATACAGTTATATAAATAGGAAAATACTGAAAATTGCTTTTTTTGTCTAAAAGAAACGGACTATTTATATTAAAGCGGCCTTTAGGTCAGGTTACATATGTTATTTTTAGATAAATCGTTTCATATAATTGTCAAATCGAAAGAATTAAGGTGAAAATTGAAATTTGCCGACGATAAAACACATAAACAATAAAGAAAATACTCGATACCTCTAATCTACCTTTGAATAGGTAAAGCGGTCGATTAGCTTCCCAGCCTTCTATATTTAGAAACAAACGTCACTGTCAATCTAATAATAGCCTCTCGGGATGCTGTTTTAAAGAAAGCTTACAATGCACTTTTCCAGAGTTACTGAAATACTTAGTTTGAAACAAAACTTAGAATTGTTTTCCCAACACAAAATGAAAAAGTGGAAGCCGCTTTAAAGTGTGCACAAAATGTATGCTTTAATGTTAAAATCATTGTAATAAATAACTTGCCTATGTGAGCATAGAAAAACGAGTCACTTTGTCCTGTCTTCTTTGGGAATGCATTTTCTATATTATATGGACTTAGATCTGTATATCTGAAATTCCTCAACATATATTTCAGAAGTTGTTGCTCCTCCGAATAATGAACAGACACAAGCCTGTGCTTTCTGATCCAACATTCTTCCCCAGCTGCTTTCCACGGAGAGCCCAAACGATAAAATATACTGTAACATTTTCCGAACATCTTCGAACATCCTTCAAAGAGTCACAAAATAAGAATGACCATGTACTTTTTGTTTGTTACTATCCTGCCATAATAATATCTCCATCGAGAGACAAATTTTAATGACTCTGTTTTGGGAGTGATGTATAAGATTATATCATTCCAAATTATGCATAACTAATAAAAGCACCTTCTGTTATGATAAAATATTTCGTCTTTATGGATTCACCAACACACTCAGGCTATACTTTTTATAAATTGCCAACAACATTAATTAATATAAATATTTTTGTTTGATGTACATAAATATGTTACTTTATTACTTAATACCTACCTTTATACGCTAGGAGTGTTGCATTTTGCCAACTCAAACCTTACAGGAACAAAAATAATGATACGGATTTAGTTCATAGTTATTTGTACTATCATTAGCAGCAATTGAAAAGAAACATTAAATATAACATATCCGTATTTCAAAACAAAAAAAAACACATCATTTCTGAATCTCTTATCCATTCGTTTTTTTTTTCAAAGAGACTGGCGGCGCAGACTGGAATATCCACCCAGAGGATTAAAGTAATCTGAGGAAGCGAGGCTCTGCTGTTTTTGTTGGTTATTTTCTTTTTAGGTTTTTTATACATGCATAGAAACTTAATCATTACATTTCATTCATCACAGTGAAATAATATCACCATAAACATCAGACTCGCCGAAATGACGTCATTTCAAAACACGCGAGTAACCATTTTATATAAAAAAATTAATTTTGTACAATGCATAAATAAAGGTATAACTGCATTGTTATTAGTTGGAAAGGTGCAAATACTGCTAGAACGGAAATATGAAATTGGTCAATATATATCTTGTAAGTGGCAGTTTGTATAATCTGGAGAATCATGAAAGCAATTCAATTCAATTCGAAATTCACCATATTTTGCTTATTTAAAGAAATAGTTTGTAAATAATATAATATGAAACAAACGTTGCTGCAAGTTTTTTTGTACTTGTATGCGTTTTGTTTTTGTTGTTTGTTTGTTTGTTTGTTTTGGGGGTTTTGGGGGTTGTTTTTTTCCTAATTCCGTTTATGGTTAAAATTTCAGCAATTACATGAATCCAAATATTTCAGATTTTCCATAATAAGATGATAAAAAGACTCACCATCATATCCATATTTGTCATTTCTGTATAACTGGTACATCACTGTAAAATAAATAACAATTTCTTCATGTTGGGTTAATGGACCTTTCTAGTTTTAAAAGTATTATGCAAACTGACTGACTTATCCATTTGTAACACAGGGATAATGCATAGTTACTGTGCGACCTGGTTTACACAAAAGAATAATTGTGTTTGTGATATTTTTTGTAACCATTAAATAGCGCAGACAAGTCTAATTTGACGAAGACAGCATTGCAACGGTTTTACACAAATCGTACTAAGAATAGCAAAAACAAACGGTTTTCAATTTATTTCTAAGTATATTTCTTGATTATTTTTTTAACATGGTTTTGTTTTAAGTGCACCCATTTATATAAGAAATTCAAATTTAATGTTTTTATGGACCTTTAATATTCCATGAAAATATAATGAAGAAATCTACAACTGGACGTTTAATCTACAGGTGCAGTAAGTTTAGTGTTGAAACTGGTTAACACTACCAACTACACTTAATTGACATTAAAACACAAACAAAATACCTTGGAAGTTAGTCCCAAATGAGTCTAGCATATGACTTAAATCTTCTGTGTTTGTACTATAAGCCACAATAAACCCTTCCTTAGCTGATATACGCAACGCACTGTCTGTGATTGCACCCTTATCAAAGTCAATATCCAGCGTCTCTGACTCCGAATAAATATGTTTTGGTACAAAGTTCAGATTGCAATAGGTCTTTGTTCCGGAGAAACGGTCAGTAACAGAAAATACTGAGCCTAAATAGTAAATCATTTAGTTAACAATGCTTAAGAAACCTTCATTGAAACATTTTTGTTTATTGAAATTTGGCTCCAGTCAAAATTTCATCTTAGCTCTTACTTTCAGAAGAGATCCGTTGGCGAATAATAATCAATAATTTGTGTGTAAGTTAAAATTTCCTGCGCACTCTAGAATATTATTTCAATATCTTATTGCCTATAAACAAACATAAAAACACCCATGATACCTGAATCACATCTGACATTGAAGTCAATCAGTTCAAGATGTACAGAAAACCTCCGGACATCTATTCTCCATCTTTCAGAAGCGGTTGAAAATGGAAAGTTAAGTTGGGACAAAGACGCCAAGAGCATCGCAGGTAAACTGCAACTATTCAGTATCTCCTTTGGCAGATCGTTTTTCAAAGAAAAACACGTAGGTGCATCTGTAGATGATATACATATATTGTTTATTGACATAACGTGAAGCAACGAGGGGGAGTGGGAAAGGAACATGATAAATATTCTTTAAACATTTAAAACAACTGTCTCAATATATAAATCAGAGCAAAGTTTACCCTCGTTTATTTTGAGGTAAAATATTTATCATAAAATTGTGAAGACAGGCAAAGCACATCTTTTCTTTTTTTTTTACAAGTCTTTTTATGCTCAATCGAATTATACAGAATTTGTTTTATTTCTATTATGTAGCAAGCTTTATTGTAACACTTAATAACCATTTCCTGGATTGCTCAGGGATTAACATCAGTTTACCCTTGACAGGATCCATGCGCCTGGCAATCCTCAATAACTAGCTAAAAGTGTTTACCATTCCGTTATGCACAAAGTGAATTTTTACAAAAAAAAACAAAACAAAAAAAAACCAAAGAAAGATGACGATGTTTATAAGATTGTCGGTTAATATAAAATAGTCATTTGCAATATAATAGCAGTCTACTTTACCTGAAAACTTTACAAATGCCTCGAAGCCTGTTCCTCGAGACACTATTCTTGACGTTGGTACACATGTTTTAAATGTAAGTGACAAATAACGAACATCACTTTGAATCACAAAAATGACATTATTAAACCCTTGGTCGATGGTTAACCCCTTTTCATCCGTATAGGCATTCTTTAGTACAATACTGTCTTGATTACACGAACCAATTATAGTTGGACCAGAAAACATCTGCAATATTAAAAATGCACTTTTTTTCTCGTGTTTTAAATCTTTATACGTTTATGAGCACGCAAGAAGTTGTATTTATTATCATCCATTATCATGTATGTATAATATCTTATGTTAAATTGTTTCCTCATTATCAACTTAAGTTTCAGCTGGCCTGTAAATGATCATATAATATTCAAGACGACGTCAATGGTCTAGTATTAATGTATTGTCCTTTCATCAGACCGCTGACATTTTGTGGTGGATACCCGCTAGGAAGATATAACAGGTATGTGAGTCCAGTATATTTTACTAGAAATGTTGTTTTTAAACATTATTATTTCGTTGAATTTGTGTTATGTGGTATAAATATGAAACCAGACCTATACCCGATGGCACATATGCTTATTTTTCCAATCTTAAAACAAAACAAATTCCCTATTGAATTGAAATTCTCGATATCAAAACTTACGAATTTGCTAAAGTTCATTCCATTATGGTATCAGACAGATGTTTCCACACATTTTATTTTATTTTTATATATTTTTATGTTTTGACTGATATTTGAATTGGTCAGAATAAACAATTGAGAATGCAATGCCAACATAGCGTGAATGTAGGTTTCAAAAGGCACTGAATATTTTTCTGAATTAAGCAATTTACAACGCAAAATTTCATAAACTGGGCAAGGTATTTTTTTCCAAAATGGTTAGGAAAAGCCTGCACTTCCAGCCATTCGGCTTTGGTCCGTTTAATGTCTACAGGCTTTTTGATCACTTTCTATAATGCATTGTGTCCCTCCTTGTGTGCTTTATACAACTTCTTAAATAATGTTTTCTATATACGGTCAAAATCAATTATTCTTTGTTTCATTCAAATATAAAGAACCTTATAATTTTGTAGCATTTTATATAAATGTAGACCAATGTTAAACTGGATAGATCTATAATGGGCATATTTTTCATAAGCATTTCAAAACATTATAAAATGCAATAAAAATGTATAGATGACTCGAATGATTTTTTTTTCAAATAATGTAAATTCAAATAGCTATAATACACCAATAGCATTACCTCAAATTCTGAAAATGATACTTGACTGAACAGCAGCTCGATGTATCTGTTGTCGGTTGTTTTTATTGTCCATGTATATGATATCCCACTCCTATATTGTGTCGGGTAACCAATACTTGTGATAACAGACTGTACTTGTTGCAAATTAATGTTGCCATACTTAACGGTGTCGGTCAGTCCTCTATGTTTGTGCAATTTACTAAGTTCCGGGAGATACAAGTTTTCTGATAAAAAATATATCATTTTGATATTGTCATTCTTAAAAGTTATAAATAATAATTAAGAACCAATAAACCATCAGAAATTGACAAATTCATCAGCAGACAATGGTTGTATGAACTGCCATCCATTGTCTATTGATAAATTTTAAAAATACTTCCAACTTATCGGTTGTTTTCGCTTATATTATTATTATCGTCATCAATATCCTCCTCCCACATCATCCTCATCATTATCACAACTATCATCATAAATGTTTTCAAAATCATCATTTTACATTTAGACGGCCGATTAAGAAAGAACTAAATAACTAAAATAAATTACTTTAAAGGACAAATATGTTTAAATCTATCTTATCTTGGATATATGATTTGGTTTAAAGTCAATTAAAGTCATACTTTTATTTTTGCAGCCAATAAGTTCAAATCTCAAACAGTTCGTGTCAGGACTCACTGATTTGACCACACGTATTTTTATGTACCTTGCCACTAATGCCTTGTGGTAAAACGTCTGCGGTGTATCAACAGGCAAAAACTTATCGAGCTGGAGTATCTGTAATGTAGTTTAATAAAGGTTCTTAGCCGAGATACAAAAACAACTTAACATTGATAAAATTTAGTAACATAAGAAACATATGATCTCATGCCTATATAGATTCGTTTTTATATGCGTAAGTTTTTATATCCGTTTTTATATGCATAATAGCATGCAGATTATGGTCGCAAATGAACAAATCTATGTTCACAGTGAAGAAGTACCTTAAACATATTTACAGATATTACTTACCATTGGTTGCCCCTCATTCTTTTCATCAATATTAGAAAAGTAATTCAGTTGAATAGTACTGACGCCTTTTAAAATGATATCCTTAGTGTATATACCATCAGTGATACTTTCTACTGTTTCATACCAATTCAAAACGGTGATACCTTCAAATATGGCGCTATACAACATATCAACCTGTGTAAAAAAAGGAAACAAGAACTATCCTTTACTACATTTTATTTTAGAACGATCAATGAGGTTTCCCAGAGTGATTTAAATTTGGAATTTGAAATGACCAATAAAAAATCCTCTTATACTCAGTTCTTTACTGTAAGTTTTACAAGAAGTCAAACTGATTAAAGATGGCCTTTGGCGAAGAAAAATGCTCACAATTATTATAGTGAAATAAAGAATCCCTAAAGAACGTTCAAAACTGCATAAATAAAATTGTTGGAAACTCAGTATGAGGTTGTCCATGCACGGTATTGTGTTTAAGTATTTCATAGAAATAATTATCAGTTAGTTATTTGCCGATATCATTGGAATTACTTAGATCAGATCTGTTTTTTTTCTTTTTATTTTAAAGAAATGATTCTTTAGAAATAATTGGGTACGAGGTCATTTAATGATAACTTTATATACAGAAATAAAAACAAATCTGTTTAAATATGTGGATCAGATTGAGCAAGAGAAAACAGTTTTATTGTGGGTTTTTTTCTTCAATATTTAAGATTGTAAGGACAAAAATGTGCCCAAAGTAGACCAACCCACTTCAAGGTAATTCACCTAACTCTATATCCAAGTTTATGGGATTGGGCTATGTTTCCCTATTTTTATAGAAAAACCTTTACCTCTCTTTAGAACAACTATTGCCAATAACCTTATAAACAGATCTTGATATTACCAGCTGAATACTTTCTGCAATATTCCGTTATGCATTTAAACGTTCATATAATATACAATCGTTCCTTTACTGATCCAATAAAAGTAGTAAGAATTTTCCTGATGCATGCCCAAATATACACAGACTTTATACGTTTAAGAACAGGACATACATATGGTTATAAAATAGTAAATCTTCGAATAGTTTGTCTTAAACTTACAAAGTATCAATTGGATTATGAGTTTTTATATATAAGAGGCACATT